GACGTTGGCGGGGCAGCGTTGGGGCAGCAACATCGCCCGGCGATGGCCCGGCGATGGCCCGGCGACAATGGCTTTTTCGGGCAAGGTCGGAATCGTGGAGCAAGGTTGGAATTCCGACGCTGGCCATGCGAGGGCCCGCAGTGGTAGATCGGCCCGAAACCCTACCTCCTGAAGTTCACCGCTCCCTTCCCCGAATTTCATCGCCTTGAAGGAGGCGCTTTGAAAAGGGAGGCGATGAAATCGCCTATGTGTGTGACTACAAGCCCCATTCTCGCATCGGCTGAACCGCTTTAAAACACACACTCGCGGCCTCTCTCGCTTCTGACCAAAAAAGTGCCGTAAATCGCCCCAAAGCCCGCAACCCTGCGTGTTGAAATTGTTGTACATAGCAATTGCGTTCAAAATCGCAAGATGACGTGCTCGTGAAGCCGGTGCCATATCATTCTCCAAAACACGCCATGCCTCATAACCATTGCTCTAACCAATGGATCGCAACACTGATTTGCGTTTGTCATTCAAGATAGAAGACACAATTGCATATAGCCGCTGACTGCGAGCTCGTGTTGACGCCTCCATGTCAGCAATCAACAATTCACTGTCGCGCATGGCCTCCAGATCTGAACTAAACCCAGGTCCAATGCTGCCAAATACAGATCAACTGTCCAGCTCCAACGCCACGAACTGAGTTCTTCCTCTTGATGCAGCAAACCTATCTGGCCGGGTAGAAGATCTAACTTCCTGCAACGTCTGAGCGCTTGTCTGTGCTTGGGCCGCGTAGGCCACCGCGCCATAGCCAACATGTGCTGAGCTTGGCCACCGCCCTGCATCGAACCTTGAGCAACCACCTGCATCCATCTGAATGAAAATGCCTAAGAGCTATACTGTAAGGGTGCAAACACTACAGCGCAACCAACCAGCTCACCGTGCCATTGCGCGGATCTAGCTCCGCAACTATGAAACTTTTGACCCAGAACGCCTTGCGAAAACATGTCTCGAGTCCATCAACTGTTTGCAAGTCAACTGACAACAACTGTACATGTCGTGCCATGAAATTGCACGGATCAAAATCGAAAACCGACTTACAAAGATACATTTCACCAAAGAAATGAAGCATCCAGTAATGACAATGCAAAGGTGTAACCGCACGAGAACTCACTTAGGAAATAGGATGCGGCGGAACTATCCAGCGGAGTACAGAACAAGTATCTTCTCCGAGGCACCTTTGAATCCGAAATTAACATATCAGTTCCAATGAAATACCATTTTGGCGGGTTAATAGACCATCGAGACCAAATAAGCTGCAATGTGAACTATGGTTGCAAGCTTGCTCTCTACCCTTAAGGGGGCACAACCGAGCCAATTTGTAATCCAAATCTACAAATCGACGTATCAGTTCTGGTCCTGCCCTGGAGCGCTGCAACATGTCATACTAATCAGCACACTGTAGAACGGCTCCGTTCTTGCAGTCTGTCCTCTTTGTGTTTTCAATCGGTTGCACCGTTGCCTGTCAACTGGATGCTTTTCTGTGCTTGTGAGCAAGGGGGCCTGGAGTGCGGTTCTCCTGCGGTTTCTGAAGTCCATTGGCTTTGGTGTGGTAGAAACTGCCAACATCGTTTTGTCCGTACGGTGTTACACAACCTGTCGACAGCTCTATGCTCAGCGACCCACAACCCTGTCGGAGATCTGGGCAAGCACACCGCTGAGAACCGTCTGCAGCTTATGGAGCCTTCCGAATGCATCCTGGAGGTGTCAACTTCCGACTCTTCCGGAGAGTTTGTACTGGACCTACCCGATGCATGGCGCTGCTATGCGTCCGCCTTCCCGGATAATGACTCTCGCAGGCAACCTCGCGGAACTCGTGTACCTTGGCACTGCTTTAGCAGCGCGCTCCTGAACCTTTGTGGTAAAATGGATAATTGCAAGTGCCGCAGTTCACTTCTGGCACTGTGGTGATGGTACATAAGTACTGCTGCCACGAAGCGATGTAGAGCACGCTGCGTGGATGATGGTTCTATTGGTGTACAGTTTGATGGGTTCGTTGCCGCATCCTTCTCTAATTGTGATCTATTCGGGTACATCTTTACACTTCCATTGCTGGATGCTTCATTTTTTTGGTGAGTTTATATTTGGAAGCTAGATTTTTGTTACAATGCTGGCTGGAATCGTCTATCTCAGTTTTTTTTTCAGTGGCCTGGTACGCTGTCCCTTTGCCTTTGGGACTCACAGGCGTAAAACCTAGTGTTCCACCTTTTACCTTTGCTTTTTACCCTTCGAGTAACAGCCTTTTTGCCAAGATGGATGCTTTCATTCCTTTGTTGTCTTGTTGTTCGCAGCCATGGTGTCGTAAAGGCCACCGGCAGGAGAAATCAAATCTGCTTAAGGTGTACAAATGGAGCTTTTTGCACAATCGGTCCAAAGCACGTTCTTTCGAAAACTGTAAAATGTAATATTGAGGCCAGTTATGACCGGAGAAAGAACGCACTTTGGGACTAGTGCTAGAAGCGGCCAGTTGTTGTTGTCAACTTAGCTGCCTTTGAAAGAAAGTGCAGTGTGCTGGCTTTCAGTCAAGTGTTGCTTTTCTACCTTCCATTGTAGAGGCCAAGAAAATGTTATTTGAACTTTTTAAGACAGATTGAAACGGACCAAAAGCAGTTTGGCGTGCCAAAGCGGCCGTTTTGCTCAATTGTTCTGGCAGTCTTAGGCCCGTGGGCAAGCCACTACGCAGAGTTCAAGATGCGTGTCAGTTTCTCCTGCGGGACAGTCTTGCAAGGGGTTGCAACACCAAGATTCAGCTTTAACACTGCAAGACTCTCAAACCACCAACCTGCCAAAGTTTCAACACTGCGGGCTTCCAAAACGCCAAAGGTTGCCACTTTTACTGCAAAGTGGGTTGTTCAAAGTCTTGCAGTGTTGAAGCTTTGGCAAATGTGAGAATCCCATAGGTGCGTTATAGTGTTTTTGGAAAAGTCCCTCTAAAGAGAGAGAGAGAAGCTTATTATTTTTCTATTTATTTTTTCGTTATTTTATTCGTTATTTTATTTGTTATTCTTTATTTATTACACGTTCGTGAAATAGTAACAATAATGACAAATCGAATAGCGAACTAGTACACAACGAATAGATAACAAATAGATTTCAAAAGGCAACGAGGAAAAACCTGAGCCAGGCGCGGTCCAGCCCTGTTTAAGCACAGGAACGTGTAGTGTTCTTGGCTGCGAAAACGTTGCCGTTCCAGACTGGGCCCCGCGGTGAAAAACTTCAAGCAATTGGCTCAAAAACAGTTTATTTTTGCTTGCTGCGCTTGGTGGGCGTTTGGTTTTAACCGTCGACTTGCTGAATGCGGGCTCAAAGTCGAGATCGTGCGGCGGCTCCAAATTTGGAACCATCCTTCCTTCTCGGAAAAAAGCGGGTCCGTGGACCAAAAATAGCTCCGCAGAAAGTTGTGTTTGCGTGGGTCGCGTACGGCGCCTTTTTCAGAGCTTCGACTTGTGTCGCGCTGGGCCAAGATTATGACAAGCGTTGACAGTTACAACTGGGTAGGTCTTGCCAAGACGACTTGAAAAACCAGGTGCCAGCAGCCGCGAGAAAGCGAGAGGTTTTAAGCGGTTGGGGGGGGCCGCAAGCAATCTGCTTGGTCGTTTTTTCTTTAATCCGTGCGCTATTGCATCTTTAAGGAGCGAGCTGCCGCAACTTGCTAGCGCCTTTGCTTTCAACTATGACAGCGGAAGTAGCATGGTTAGATTTTCTTGCTATTCGTTATTCGTTATTCTATTCGTTATTCTATTTGATTCTATTCGTTATTCTACTCGAATTCTAACGAAGCTGCAGCAGTGGCGTATTCGAGTAATGAAAAAAAACAAAAACAATTCTCTTTTTTTCCACAAGCTGCCTCCCCATTTTATTTTTCAAATAACGAATAGAATAGCGAATAGAATAGCGAATAAATATCCAATAGACAACGAATAGATAACGAATAGATTTCAAAGAGGCAACAAGAGAAAACGAGCCAGCGCGGTTCAGCTCCGTTTGAGCGCAGAAACAGTGTAGTATAACTTCCGTTTTCAACAGTTTGTACTTGCGCCCCCACTTTCAAATTCCAATGTTGTGATTGCAAAGACGTGCGCTCTACGAGTTGCTTCGTCCAGCGTAGTTTGCACTCATCAGGTCGCAACATTGAAAACGGAGGCGCCGGGGGCGGTTCAGTTTCAGGTCCGCGAAAACGTTGCCGTTCCAGACAGGGTCTCCGCGGTGGAAAGCTTCAAGCAATTGGCTCAAAAACCGTTTTTTTTTTTTTTTTTTTTGTTTTTTTTTTTTTTCCGCTTGCTGCGCTTGGTGGGCGTTTGACAGACCCAACAAAGCAACGGCAAGTTTTTGCGCTTCCGCGAGCAGGAGCAGCTGATCAGTTTTTTGTATTGAACAAATTCGAGTTGTTGCTTGCGCATATCACCACTCAATTCATTTCGGGTATGTACTTTTTTTGGTCAAATTTCGGCTTGAAATTGGTCCCTTCGATTGCATCCAGCTTTGCAGGCCCAATCATCAAAAAACGCCGGATGGATAGCGTGCTCAAGCTTCCGGAAGTGGTGCGGATGCACGCCATTTTTTCGAGATTGATTTGGAAGCAACGTGTTGCATGCAGTTGCAGCGCCGAAGCCAGACGATGGAGTGTTGCGCAGCTGGTCACATGGCAAATTGCGATGCAAGCGCAGATACCACGCGGACTTGAATCTGCGGTTCGTTGAGGTAAGCCGACTAAAATTGTTTGAGGGGTTGTACCTGACGTTGTCACGACGTCCCGATCATCTTTCCCGTGAAAACACGCATCCACCGTGCGTAAACACATCAGGGACCAAATCTAGCGGCCTCACAAGGGGGGTGTACCAGCTCATCCAGGCGCCCTTGGGGCCCTTTTCATGTTTAACGCTCGCCCATGATACGCACTGGCGAAAACAAATGACTCAACGCATCCCTTCAAACTTCGGCCGCGACCGGGCCATGGCATGGCGCCATGGGCACTGCTACCTGGCCGCGCAAAGCCTCTGGCGTAACCCAATGTATTGCACTGCTGCTGGTGCTTAGGAACCAGGTTGGTGCGTCAGGAGAAAGTAGACATGCCTTTGGTGTTGCGGTTCAATTAATTTGTGAGGCAAACATTCTGTTTGTTTTCCTGTTCTGGGGATCGCTTTCACAGAATCAAAAGGTTAGGCCGGGTTCTAAACGGCTGGGGCCTGTTTGTGATACTGTTTTCAGGAGGTATCCTCATTTCAATACTCTGGTGACGTGGAAAACCATCCAATTTCCACAACAACTGATCTTTGGGGCAAAAACAGCCAAACAACCATTGCGTTTTGTCTGCTGAGTTTGCTTTCTGCAACGACACCTTCATTATCTTATCTTAGTATGTTTGCTCTCCAACAAGCATACTCTGAAAATGGAACATTTGGCACACAATTGAATGGGGCCGCAACCATTTCCGTAGTGAAACCTTTGTTTGCTGTGCTTGTCAAGTATTATCTCAAAGAAAAACAAAGTGTTCAAATCCAGTCTATTCTGGGTCTGCTCCAAGAACTAGCAGCATATCAGCCGTTACTTCCAGTTTTGGCAGTCCATAGAGACAAGCATAACTCAACATAGATGCGTCAACAAGAAATGGTGCCAGGGTCAACAGATCACGTACTTAGAGTCAATCAGGGATGGTCAGAGATCCTTTCTGTGGGTTTGACACATGCTATCAAGCATTCAATTGAGAGCTCTCAAGGCATCGCTACATTTTGCCACCTTTGCGGTGTACAATGGCCTTGCAGCAAGGGGGGCTGAAGCCAGAGCCATTTGCATCAGCACTCTCAGTGGCTTCCTCAACATGGAGCCCGAAAACAAGACTCTAGGAGCCTTTTTTCTGGGGGACCGACCCCTTTTCTTGGTCCCTTCTGTTGCAGGGCACTATCCCCAAGGATCTCCAAATAAACAAACCCATCACCATACGGTTTCTCTTTATGGGTACAAGCGAAAACATGTGTGGGTGGTGGGGGCGGCGTGTTTCCGAGTTGCACAAATTAAAGTATGACTCGACTTGCGTGTTCTGTGGAATTCAAGGGTTTGAAGATCTCATCATGGCTCCCTGAAAGAAAGCTACTTGTATTTCAACTGATCAGCCAGTCACGAGCCAAATCGTGGGTTCAAGGCCTTGCGGTCGGCAACCCATCGAGGCTTTTGGTCCCGGCCGCCGGCTGTTCTCTGGACCCAACCACTGAAAGGGCGCTGCGGGCAGTGCTGGTGGCAACGGGCGCAGACTTCGATGCGGAGGACAGTCATGTTGGCCTGTTGGCCTCATGCCTCATGTTGGCCTTATGTTGGCCTTGTGTTGGCCTTACGTTGGCTTTTTGGGAGTGCCTCTTGGGGGTTTATATAGTAAGCTGGGTTCGCAGTTGGCTAGGTTGTTCGGAATCAATCCACAAGATCCTTATGTTGGATGGAGCTGGTTTTCCTTGTCGTGGTGACCCTCTGGAGATTACGTAGTAGGATTAGGGATCCCATTTTGGAGAACCCAGATTGCGCATATTAAAATAAGCTCACCCGGAAGTCGATGCGTGAGTTCCATTTGGGAATTATTGTAATTTGCCCAGATTAATACTTGCAGGTGTCCCTTCTGATCGTTGGGGGACCATGATGCACTCCTTTCGGCAGGTTGGCAGAAAATGGGGAGATTTCACTCGTTCAGTTTGCATCCTTTCCGGCTTGTGTAGAAAAAAGTGCCAGGGCCAGAATCCAAAGGCATGATTTTTTTTGAAGGCACCACAGGGAAACCGGACTCCGTGGTTCCCCTATTTGGAGACAAAGCCAGGTGTTTTGCCTGGCACAGATGATAGGCCATTGGCCAGGTCCATTGTTCACCAGGGCTATTTTCCATGAGATTACCGTCAAAGATGACTATACATACATACGTAACGTATATACATATAAATATAAATATAAATATATATATATATAAATCAATAAATGTATATACATATATCTATATATACGCTGGTGACACAGGTACATAGAGAAAGTACCATTTGTTGTTTGGCAATCTTCATGCAGTCTTCTTCAATGGTGAGCGGTTTCATCGGGAAGCACAAATAGGCCAGTCTTTGTCCTTGGTTGGCGCGGGTGGCGGGCCTGAATAGAGTGCATTGTTGGCCATGCCCACCACTTTGGGAGAGAGGGGAGGCCTCCTGCCCCGGGTCGCTCCATCCATTCATGCGTCCATCCATCAATCCCCATCCCATCCACCGAGCAAAAGAGCCAGCTTGGAAGCTTTCCAAAAGTCAAAGGAGTCCACTAGATGTATGTATTTTTAACCAGCACCATCTATTGGTCCAAGAGGGCACCTAGGTCTTTTGAGGCTGAGTGTCATGTTGTAAAGAGGACTCCCACACTTTTGGTGGAGTTGTCATTCATTCATTTGTCCAATAAGGCAGCCCTGCAGCCAATCGGTATGTTAAGAGTCCAAGATTCTGACAGAAATCACTCAAGCTGAGTCCAACTCTGGATTGCACCTTTTGGTTTCCAAGAAAAGACAGAGGGCCTGGTTGCCTGATTTTTGTGAGGACCCCCTCTGCAGCTCTGACGGTGTCACATGCGAGGACCGAAATATGCTTTTCTCGCTGTGAAGTTTCGATTGGTTGCTTCCCATTCTTGCCTCGTTGAATTGAGAACTCCGGTTCAACTGTGCAGATGAGATACTACGGTGGACGGAAGAAGTCCTGCACTGCCTCAAGACCCATGAATGCAATGGGGCGCAATCGCGGCACCCTGAGTCCAATGTTGACTGGCAACGTGTGAGGGGGCAGGATGTTTGTCAATTTTTACCGCTGGGCTGGTGTATCTTCCCAAGACCCAATGCTAAGCTGCTAGCGAGCCGCCATGAGACTTTCTCATCTAGGTGCAAGTCAAGAGTCGAACCACATCAAGCATCTTGTCCGGTAAGCATTGTTTGAGCAATCAGATTCTGGTCTCCTTCAAAGAGACGTCAACATGACAATAGTGGCGTGAACATGTTTTCACAAGGGGTTGGCCCAACCACAAAGCCTTTCTTCCCGGACCCTATTTAACACCCAAAGATGCAGGATGTAAAAATCACAGATACGATCATAGGTGGCCACAGGACAGCGGATGCGCATTTTGTTGACTACCAACACGTTTTGCTTCCTTTTGGTTGCGCTTCAAAGCCTCCGATTGGTCCATTCCTTGTTGTAGTCTGGTCCATGTGGGGCCAGGGACTTACTAAGGTTCCGACAAAACACCAATTTCGCATGCCCTACGGACACAACTTATGTTGGCGGCTTAGCCGCACCTACAAGGTACGCCTTTGTTTACAACCTCTTTAATTTTGAAGCGATTCCTCCACCCGCCCTCAAAGCGCCACGCCTGCCAGAATCTGGGGGCTACTTGCAAGCTGACCTGCTTGACCCTTTCTTCCAGAGAGCTCACCGGGTACTTGCCCGAGGTGCCCCCGTGCGCAGCAGCATGCAAGGTTGTCTTTTTTTTCATCACGGAGCAGTGGCGTTAATGGGAGCCCGGGATTTATAAACCCGTGCCTGACTGTATTGGGGGGTGCCCAGTTTGGAGACAATCCTTCCCTTTGGGGGGAAACACCCCTCTATTGATCTGTGAGGTTTATGAATCCGGGGTCGACATTACTTTGTTTGAAGTCTTGAGGAAGCGGGAGCAAAACCATGGCAAAGTGGCCCAGTTTGTGCTTGGGCCGGCTGCGGGCCGCCTGGTGGATGTCTTTGAACCGATCAGGTAGGCGTGACGTACATTGCACTGCTTCCACCATCTCAGGGAAGCTTCCAGCAAATCAGTCAGAAGGGGCGCCAGGCACAGCAAGTCCACACGGACTTTTGATACAGAAGTCCTGTTCCCAAACTGTGGATACGTTCCTCCCTCAAGGTCTTGCGGGGTCAAGACCACACCGTCTTCCTTTTGGCCGGCTCTTGTCGCTGATTGGCCTTGTCAGCATTTCTTGCTATGAGTTCAAGACGGATGTCTCCTTTTCTCCAACACGAGATGGTAGGGCGCACCAAAGGGACTCAACTTTATCAGTTTTTGTTTCCATTTTACCAAAGCCAGCCTCTTGCGAGGCTGGAGTTGTTTATGGAGACTGGCATGTTGATTTTGCGCTGATGAAAGCGCTCAGGACGCCTTAACAAAAAGCAATCGGAGCAATTGTGCCTGCAATCCTGTGCTGTGCAATTTCGGACTGAAAACTTAAAGGCGGCATCCACCGGGGAGGAGGGTGGGAAACAGATTTCTACACTGAATGCACGTGCACATATCACATAGACCCTCAAAGTGCTCTATGGGATATTACTTTACCCCAAATTGCTTGCTCACGCTTTCCGATTTTGATTCTAGTTTGAGAAGTGGCGAAGCTCCGCCCAATAACGGCTGCAACACAAAGCCTTGGCAAGCAAGATCCCGTTTGGACGGCAAAGAAGATCTGTTCTCAGGCCGTGGGAGACCTGAGGGAGCTGCGGAAGGTGTGGCTGAACTCGAACCAACTCACCGGGCCTTTGCCCGGCAGTTTGGGGCGCCTCACGCAGGCGCGATTGGTTCGGGTTGTGTTACCTGTTCGTGTCCCAACCTCGAGCAGTTCACAATCAAACCATCTCATTGTTGCTACTGCCGCTGCTGCAATTCATTCAACCCTGATTAGAATTTCTGGATTAAGCTTTGCGGCGGGCCAGAACAAATCATTAAGTGCGCAACATGTAATACCATCAACATAGACATCTGAGTTGACGGATTGGGGATTGTGGAGAACATACAATCAACAAACATGAGCATGACCGTTGGCCAATCATAGTAACCATCAACAAAGGGGAACAACAACCGCTGAAATAGCTGATAACAAAGCGATTATATAATTGATCTTTTGTACCCAAGCTAACCTGACACCTTTCAACCCATCGACGGCTTTTCTTCGTCCGCCGCCCCACCATGTGCTTTTGACTCGATTCCCCGTGGTCTGGGGCAAACGTGCCATTTGGACGGCTCAGTTGGACTATTTGGACCTGTCCTCGAACCGCTTCACGGGGCAGATTCCGGAGTCCTTCGGCCAGCTGGCGCAGGTGCCTTGTGGGCTGGGGTGATCTGGCCGGAGGCTTTCCTGAAGTTGCATCTAGAGGTTCCTTCTTGGCAGATTAATATGAATCCCATACCATGATTTGTAGGAGCTCCTTCCGGGGATCTCATTTCTTTTCGGTTCTTTGGGTTGATTTGCAGAGCAAATGATCTTGCTGAGGTCAAGCAGTTGTTCCTGCAGGAAAACCTGCTGAACGGCAGCATCCCGGCGTCTCTTGGGAAGATGCGGAGCCTAACGAGACTGGATCTATCGCAGAACCAGCTGAGTGGGAAGATCCCATTGAGCCTTCGAGCCCTTGACCAGGCTCGATTCAATCACTTCGAATAATGGGGCCTAAGGGGTTCCCTGTTGGTTTTGCCAGCCAACCGTTTGTTTGACCTCCATGGTATTTTTGGGCCCAGAAAAACTGGGGTGGACAAAAACCGGTTCCCCAAAACGACATTCCAGCCTGGAGGTTGGAACGGCCTTCTTCTGGGACAACCCCGGGCTGGAGCCGGCCAGCACCCAGAAGCTGTACCGGGACTGCGGGCCAGTGACCAAGGACGGGTGCTTCCCTTAGAAAGCACTCTCCGAGTTCTTTGGACTTTGTGCTTTTGGGGACCATTTCAGAGTCACAAACAGTTCCGCCTCTTCTCAGGAAGTAGGCCTTTCCCTTTTTGGTTTGAGCATATTCGGAAACAAAGTTTGGTTAAGCATCACCTCTTGGGTTGTCAATCGTTTAGCACGTTTCCTTTTGGGTTGATGCTTTCAGGTTGAATATAAGGAATCCCTTAAACTTTCGCTGCGTTTCTTGCCTCAAGTGAAAGCTTCGGAGTAAATTGACCAGGTTGGAACCCGGAGTTCAGACCGCTTCTCTGGCGAGCAGCAAATACTCGGGCTGGGTGCTTGTTTCGTCTACTGAAACAAACTCTGAAGGTTGCCCACTCAGACCGAGTTCGCCCAGCATTTTTGTTTTTTTAAGAAGCTGATGGAGGTCTGGGTGTAAGCCCGAAAGTGATTCTTGGATGTATTTTTCGCCAAGAAACATCCGCAAAGCCAACCCCCCTAAACCCCGAAGGATCCCTGCAAGATCTTCTTCTTTTTGGATCCTTGGCAGTGCCTCCGCTGCTGCTTCGCGGCCCTGGGTGCCGCTCTGGCTGCGGCCTGGCTCGTGAGGCGCCGCTTGGCAGACACTAGCCCAACGAGTACGTTTTCCCCTTGTAACCCCGAAAAACAAGACGACCTTTCCCTCTTGCCAAGACAAACACCCATCCACCAACTACATTGCAGCAGAAAGAAAATAATCAAAACACATTCAGAAAGTCAAATACGGCCAAGGAGCGACGCCGTTTCGGCTTAAGGCAAGCGCCGGGCCTTCCCCGCGGCCGCCGCCCACGTTGCGCCGTGTCCTGTGGGCGTGCTGCAGCTGGCCACGGAGGCGCTGAGGCCCACGAGGCGGAAGGCGTATGAGTCGAGTCGGGGGGGGGGGGTTTGGGGATTCTCGTTGAGCGGAGAATCAGAGTGGTTGGTGCTTCAGAGTGATGATTTTACGCTAGTTTTTTGGGGTGTTGTTTTCTGTGGAGATTGTTTTGTATGTGTTTTTGTTGGGTAGTGTGATTGATTTGACAGTGTTTGAATTGATTGACCTCTCGGAGTCGTTTGGGTTCTTGCTTTGGATCAATCTGTAAGAATAAGATAGACAAGCATTTTGAGAATCTGCTTCTTTCTGCATGTAGACCTTTTGAATTCATTTGGAGTGAGTTGTCGCCGTGGAGGGGGGTGACTTTTCCACAAGCTGATTCAACTGGGAAATTCCTTGGTAGACTATTCTCAGTTGGTGTGTCTTAATCGAGTTGATTTGTGGGTTGGTTCAAAAGGACACCAAAGTCTTTTTTTGGGGGGATACTTTTCCAAGCAAATCATTTCCAGCCGACGGTTCCAAATGCAAGCATGCTTCACGTTGCTTCTCCAAATGCAACCTTCAACACTTCTTGTGGAACCTTAGGGACCTCGCTTGAAAGGGGGTCAAAAACCCGTTGAAAGTTTCAGGTCCACTACTCACGCGTGTTTGTAGCTCCAGCATTCCCTGGCATTTAGAGAGACAAGAGGTTGGGCTCGTGGAGCTTTTGAGCGACTAGAAGAAGTGTCATGAAACTTATGACCGTCCGATGTGCCGCGGTCAAAACACATTGTGCTTGGGGCTGGTACGGATGGTCATTAGCCAGCTTGCCACGATGGACACTACCGTGATCCCGTACATTGGCTCACCAAATTTTCCACAACAACCAGGGGATTCTCTTGTTTTGTATGAAGTTTGGTGTAACTGCATTTCTTGACCGTGCCTTACATACGCCTTGGTCAAAGCACCCAGTTGCTCGGGTTATCGTGAATAGGGTGTCAGACGATGGCCAGGGTTGCTTCTAAGGAGCTTCACCAAGTAAACTTCAATCACAAAAAAAGAAAACGACTCTCTCCCTCCATTCCGGCAAGTCAGGGAACTCTCTCTCTGTCTCTCTCTTATTTGGGCAGGCAAGATTCGCAATTTTCCCTATAGGAAGCCGACGGGAGGTGGGGGCAGCTGGTGTTTTTGGCGTTGGCGGTGGTGGCACACATCTTTGTGCCGCTGTGTTTGGCCTGGTCCTTGCGGATGGAACTGGTGCTGGGGCTAGGCCGGGAGAAGCGAACCAACGGGAGGCTTCGGTGTTGGCTTCGAATTCCCTCAACATAACCAAACGGGGCTCTTTGCCGAGACCAAATGCTTAAAGGTTTTGTGGGTAGGTTGCTTTGAAGGGACACCAAGAGGAAGATGCGTCCAGATGGTATTCCCAACCCTCTTTGCACCCATGTGGCCAGAAAAGCTTTGAGCTCTTGGGGAACAACTTGCGGATTGTTTTGCGCAACACAAGAAGAGCTTCCCTGGGAAAGCGAGTTTCATGATGTAGATCATTTACCGGACCCGTTTGGCAATTAGGGAACCGTTTTTTTTCTTGAAGTCCCAATCATTTGTCGTTGGGAAGCGCTGGAAGGGTCAGGTGGGTAAATCAAGTCCTTTGCCAGGTGTGCTGAAGGGATTGTGCCGGTGTGGCTCCGGCGCGCATCTGGTCTTCCTCCCCAAAGGCCTGAGCTCTGGCAGGCAGGCCTTCCAGGTTTCTCACTCGCAAGCAGAAGCGTGCCCCGTTTGTCCCAACATCCACTGGGCTTCTAAGGTTTGGCTGGGTGAGATTTTTGAGATCCTGCTGTCCTTCGCGTTGGTTTTGTCCATTGTGACGGCGGCCAACGTTTTGCATCCCTACCACTGGCAGCGCGCCCTGCGGCAGGATGCCCCAGGGCTGAGAGTCGGAGGGGTTTTAGATGGGCCGCTTGTCCGTGAGTGGCCAAGTTTTTGAAGTTTCTTTGAACGGGTTTCTTTGATCAAGTGCAGAGAATGAGAATGGGTTTACCCTCGGTAACGTGCTACCTGACAGGGGGATTTTGGACCAGTGAAAGACCATTCTCCTCAGGACATGAACCCTCTCCAGGTTGGTGGACAGGATATTCTCCACCTGCCAGGATTCCGAGGTGGTTGCGGCCATGGTGGATGACCAGCCCTGGGTCCGCGACTTCTTCCTGTGCACAGTAGGCGCCATGAGCGTTTACTGGTTGGCCCTGCTGAGCTCGCGGCGAGAGGCGGATGGACGGCTTGAAAAACAATCGGCCGGGAAAGGGGTGCGGGGTTCTTGGATTGGCTGGGTTCTTGGCTTAATGTTTTTTTTCTTCTCTTTTTTCGGGGGACGCTCCTGTACCCCGTCGAGGCAGTCCAGGCTTCGCGGGGCCAGCTGGAGGATTGCCGGGTGCTGGCGCTGGCCTTGGCACAAATCACAGCAATGGAGGCTTGGGCTGAGCAGGAGGTGGGGGCCGGAGAAAAACAACCAGCTCAATGAAAATCCAGGGTTGCTTTTGTGTTGATCCCCTCCAAGCCCCGGCAAAAAAAGGGGAAACAGTTTGCTTTTTTGTTTTAAGTTTCCCTTCGTACCGCTTTCGCACACAGACTCATTCCCGATTCGCGCAGGTGCTCACCGTGGAGGTGCGTGCAAGCTCCGCGAGCTCATTGCTCGAGACGGAGCTGGTCTGCGACGTCTCCCACACGCCTTCCGCGACCTCGGCGTCGGTGCCCGCGTCCGGAGGTTTGGGGCCATCTGTCGCCGTGCGCGCGGAGAAGGTGGGGACACGGCGCCTGCTGGTGCGGTGGGAGGAGACAAGCTGCCAGGTGGGGTCAGAAGCAAAGCCGAAGGCCATGGAGCTTGGTTTTAGCCAGTTATAGTTACCAAACATTGTGGCACAGCCCGAAGTCAGTGGTTGGTCGTACTTGCGGAGGAATTATTGTACTTGTATTTTACAACCTCTCGGATCCAGCTGAGGTATCCCTTTCAATAAGACACATCCGTCGAGCCGGAAGCGCAGGCCAGTGTCTGGGTCTCTCGTGGCCCAGGTGCAGCTTCGGACACCCGTCTACATCTTCTGCAGCGTGGCCGCGATTGTGGTGACCTCCTTTACGGACCTCATCGTGGCGACGCAATTCTTGCAGGGCCGCTGAACCATGAAGCGTTGCGGGATGCTTTGCAAGTCAAGCGTTTCGTTTCGGGGGTGAAACAAAGGGTGTCTCAGGAGCTCCGAAAGTGAGAGCGGGCGCATCCATTGAAGGGGAAATCCAGTGACCCCTGTCCAACTTCGACCCAGGTTGGAGGATGCTTCAGAAATGACCCGTAAACACCACGAAGAGGAACGTGAAAGCATCTCTCGCAATAACTCTTCATAGAGGATCTATAGAATGTCCTGCGCAAGATCGCAAGATGTTGTCTTATACGTTCCTCCGCCAGATCTCCTTGCGCGATCTTTGACATGGATCTGTGCGCAAGATCCTTCGGCAGGATCTTTTTCGGTTCCAACCCCGCAAGGTCTTTTGCTGGAAGATCATGTAGAACAGCTCTTATAGATGACCATTGTACTGCGTGTAACGTCCTGCGCAAGATCTCCTCCAGGATCCCTAGCAAGGGTGCACAGGTTTTTTGGGAGGATCTCGGCGTCCTTTGCAACATCTGGTTTGCAGAGCTCCACAAAAAAGAACTCCATGGGAAGTGCTGTGCAAGATCTTTTGCTGGAAGGTCATGGGCAGCAGGTTTCAGGGATCTATACAGAAGGTCCTGCGCAAGATCTCTTGAGAAGATGTGTTTGCAAGGTTATGGTGTGTGCAAGATCTCTTTCAGAGCATCTTTGCAGAGGATCTTCACTTTGCTGATCGGCGTTCAAAGTTCGACCCGCGCCACAGCAAGGTCCAACGCAGCTGAAGTTCGCAGATGGCCCGCTCTCGATGTGAAAAGTTCATACAGCGCTCTAGCAGCGATCCACCGCGCCCAAAGTGCATGGGCTTGCTTTTGATACCCAAAATTGCAGCGCGCCTTGTTGAAAGTTAACACCGTGCCACAGCGAGAGCTATCCGACACACCCAAAGTCCGCACAGGGCAAGCTTTGAAGTTACAAAACGTGCCGTGCCTCCGAGGCATCAAAAGAACAGCCGCGGGTGCAATTGCGGAATTCGCGAGGCGCCGCGGCGAGAGCACGCCCTCGAAGACGCTCGCCAGCCTCGCTCTTTTTACCACGAGCCTGCGCTGTCAAGTTGCGCTCGCCCAATTTTGAATGCAACTTTCGCACGAGCTCGAAACGAAGCGAAGCAAGAAGAGCCGAATCTAACCGCGCCTTACTCTTTACGTGGGAGGAGAGACAAGCCCACCCATGTGGGTCCAAGCTTGGTTTGTTGGTCTCTTGATGCAGCTGCTACTTTCCCAGGTGCTGCGGAGGTTGTAGACTTTCGTATTTGAGTGGATCCCCAAAACGGACATGTCCCGGTTTGCTTTGGGCTGGTCAAACAAGTCACGGACCAAACTGACAATGACTGAGGTCATTTCTTCTGGTTCGCCTTTCTCACCCTAGCCACTTCTTGGTGTTCGATGCTTGCAGAGCTGCAGACGTGGAGGCAGGCTCAGGGGGGGTGGGGGGTCAATGTGCGCCCCTGACTTTTCAAACGGATTTTTGTTGAAGCAACAGTCGGAAAGAGGCCCTTGTTTTCCCATGCCCACTTTCCTGAAGAGGGCGCTTGCCAAACCCACGTGACAGCAGGGTGTATGCCATGTTCAAAAAGGTTCTTGTACTTGGTGGTTCCACATAAGAAGTTTCGACAGCGGCGCGCGCCTCAACAGGTTTTGCAACACATATGCACACTGGGGTGAACCGAACCCTCGCAGTCTCTTCAAGGTCAGTTCGCGCGCGCGGGAAGGTGCGGGAGGCAGAACCGTCTATAGTTTTCTTTTTCTCTGAAGAACAGTAGACGGGCAGTGTTTTACTTAGTAAAGCAAGCGCTTTTCCGCTTATTGCCGCAGTTTCCAAGCTCGACTTCTGAGAGTCGCTCGGTGGCATCAACATTCTTTGCACAGCGAATGCTTTGAAATTGTGTTCGACGTGACTCGACCCGCTTTCGAAGGCTTTTGTTGGTTGAAGTGATCGAAACTCACATCATCGCCAGTGTTTTAGAAAAGGAAGCGCTCCTCCGCTTTCGAAAAGTAGATGTCGGGTCCGTCCGCAAGCTGAAGTGGTCAACAACTACAGCATCACCAGTGTATAAATGAAGGAACAGCTTTGCAACGGTAGCCGGGAAGGCCGCCTGCACTGCTTTGATAGGGGTATTGTTTGTCGCTTACCAAAAGTAGATGTCGCAATAGACCGTAGACTACAGGGGTCAACACTTCAGCAGTGTTTTAGTAAAGGAGATCTTTGTCGAGTGGCTAAAGGTGTGGATTGACGCATCGATACGAATGTGATCAGGCCTTCCCCAAAATTGTTTGCTTTCTTTTGAGCTTATTTTACACACGCCGATTCCAGGCCTGTGGAAAAAGGCAACGAGCTTGCCAGTCAAAGGTCTGTTGCAAAGTCTCTTGCTACTGCCTTTGCAGTCGCGAGGAGTGAGAATATCTTACAAATGCTAAACAGACATGGACGCATCTGCACGGGGCAGTAAATGACTCCCTTGAGGCATGTCACCTGTTTGGCAAACAAATCTTTGTTTGCTTACTGTTCGATGGGACGAACCAATGGGGAACACCCGACTTCCCACAGCTATCACATGGCTCACATGGTTCGTGAAGTGGACTCCTGTGAGCGAAATCGACTTCCCAGCAGATTCTCATCGGTTCCAGCTTGCCCCAAAGGGCACTCATGTGTGCAGCCTAGAACCCATTTGTCACCCGTTTCGATCGCCAGGCGCCTCCGGGCCGAGCTGCGCCAAAGCGCGCGGTGTGGGTACCTCACTGACCCCTTAAGGGCGATGCAGAGCTCCGAGCGCGGCATCGAAGGCTCGGAGAAGAACTGGCCGAGCTGTTGTTTGGTTGTGTCAGCTAAAGTTACACAGGCTTTGGCCTTGTCTCCATATACTCAGGTGCGATTTTGGGCACCTTTGTTTGAGCCACAACCAATTTGGTTGTGTTGAACTTGCTGCGAGTTTTCGAGGCTTCATCGACCTGGGGGTCAAAGTCTATGGCATGCCCTGGGGCGTGGACTCTGGCTTGGATTTCGCCAGCTTTCTGATCCCCATCCTGTGCCTTGGTGCTGTTGTTTGAGGGACCCACCAAACTGCAGCCCTCGAGATGCGATGGTATATGCCTTTTCATGTGTGTATAGAAGAAACTGTGCACATACTCCCACACGTGTATACATACATTTGTGGCCTTTTCCAGTTTGTATGCACATAGTAGCCCATTTTTTAATATCCCCTGACCCTTGGAGTGGGAGCCTCAGGATTTGCCTGCGGGGCCTGGTGCTCTTGCTGCGGAGCCGCGACCAGCTGGCTGAGCTGCAGAGCTCCTGAGCCTCAGCGACGCAGGCGGAGCTCCAACTCCCGGATGCCAAGCAGAGAGTTTCATGAGCTGCATGCTGAATTGAGCTCGTTTGCCCCGCATGTTTGCGGGGTTGCCTAGAAATCCACCAGCGCAAGGTGAGCGAGTCGACACTTGCTGCTGGGCAAGTAGGTCGTGACTCCCTGCGTCACCCTTGCAGGACCTCGGAGTATGCAGACGACGAGAAGTGCCATTTGCGGGCCCAGGCGGGGGGGGGGGGGTTGATTGGGGCTTGGGTTCGGTGATTGGTTGAATTGGCTGACCCTGAATGACGATCCCGGATGAATCGAGCAAATCTATCTTGGCAGGTGTTTCTTACAACATGGGATGCCTTCTCAAATGGGACACCCCTCAATCGAAATAAACCAGGCGCTCATGAATCAGCCGGGCTTGTTGTAGTCCCTCCACAACTGCAGGTCAGCCACTTGGGGGCTGCCGGCGGTGTGCAAGAGAGCCGGTGTTCAAAGATCATTCGTTGCTTTCCTTTTCACGAGTCGCCGACTTGACTTTTTCCGCTTTTGATTTGTACTAGTTGGATGCACTCCCAAATCCGGGGTCGAGCTTAATGCTTTTGGAATCTCCCTGAAATGAATTAACTCTCCACTAAAAGGGGGAATCACCCCTGATGAAGATTTGGTCCTCTGGATTAATCCGAAGTTGACATTGCCTACCAGTGTGGTGAGGGGACGGGCTTTGTCCGTCTTAACGCATTCCCGGTCAGCCATTCTCGGCTCCTTTGGTGATACCTAGGCGGCAACGGAGTGATTTTTCCAGGTTTGCCGGCAATAGACATATTAGACTCTTCTGTTGAATTGACGCATTTTAATACCCATGTTGTTTTTGATGTTTAGCTTATCATTGTAGTAACGGTCCCCACGGCTCCAACTTTTTTTGTTTGGCCAGTCAACTCAACAGATCAGAGATGGGGCAAGTGCCGGCCCATGGTGCGCTGGACTTTTGGGAGTACGAGCATTCCCAAGATCAGTGGTGTCCTTTTGTGGCAGAGCACCAGCTGTTGCTGTCGCTTCGGCGCATCCTTTGGCAGATGTTGAGCGTTGTGTTTTCTGCGCTTGGCACGGTGAACGGGCAAACAAATAGTTTGCACATCCGCTCTTCTGTCGTGTTCTAGGTTTTCCTTTAGAATATGGAGTGTCAAACTCAAAGCCAGTGGTGCAGGATTCTCGGGTAAGGTGGAAGAATTATGTGCAGTACAACGCAGGGGTGGCAGACGCGTCCAAGCTTCGTCTGAAGCTCGGGGCCGAGTACGACGTCGACCTGGAGGCCATGAAGCAGACAAATCGGAAAACAACTCGATGTGGCTGACTTTTTTAAAACCAGGCTTGGCACAGGTGCAATCGAAGGATTGCAAGCTTTGCAGCCTGATATGCAGGCAAGAGACACGGAAATACAGGCACTCAATAGCATTCAACGGGATTTGGAGACGCAGATCGGCTTGGCTAAACAGCGTGCTTCAGATGTGCAGACGGAGAATGAGCAAATTTCAGAGGAGAACCATACTTTGACATCGCAGCTTCAATGTGCCAAGCAGAGGGAGATCAAATTACGGCCTCGAGAGGAGACAAACTGGCGCCGCATCACGGAGTTGACGCAGGAGAGAGATGATTTGAAGTTGCAGCTGCAGTCTGCCAAGAAGACGTGCGCAGCAGCGGGGTCTGAAAAAGAGCAAACGTCATGTTCGTCCAGGAAATTGAGAATGGGACGGGATGCATTGAAGTCCCAGCTTTGAAAAGCCATTGAGAGGTCCCAGAGTTACAAAGCAGAAATTGAGCGTTTGTGGCACTACATTCAAGAGTTGAGAAGGGAGGGTGAAGATCAGGAGCTACACTCAGCCAACCGGAAGTGTGCCCACTTGGATTCTGAGAAGGACCAAATGCTTGGTCGTATTCAAGGTCTTACTGAAAGAAACGAGCTCAAGCTGCAGCAGGTTGGCCATGATAAGCAGCAGCATTGCGAAGAGCAATGCACGAGTCTGAAGGAGCGCCAAGACCTGGAGTTGCAGCTGCAATTTGCGGAGCAGAAGATTGATGCTTTGCAGTCCCAGAAAGATGCCAACTTGGGCCGGATCCAGGTATTGACAGATGAGCGGGATGATTTGAAGTTGAAGCTGAAATCTGAAAAGAGCAGTGCCGCGCTTTTAGAGGCCGAGCTCTGGAGGGCGCAAGATGAGGCGGAGAGTCGGGCCCAGAGTTTGCGGCAGTGCGCGGTCGAAGAGCAGCAGCTCACAATAGAAGTGCTGCAGCGCACCAATGATGACCTGCGGTCAAGGATTCAACAGGCAGAATCAAGGCTTCAAGAGGCAGAAGCGATTCTTCAAGATGCAGAGTCAAGGCTTCAACAGGCAAACTCCAGGCTTGAAGAGGCCGAACTGGCTGCGACCGTGGCTGAGGATTTGCGGTCGGTGATCATTGAACAACAGGTCAAGACTGAAGCTTTGAGCTCAGAGCTTGCGGATGCACAATCGAAAGTATCTAGACTGCATGGAACCAAGTCTTACCTTTTCATCCGCCAATTCTTGGGGAGAACAGAGGGACCCTGAGAGTTCAAGACTTCTCTAATAGGGTACTTTTGTTTCCTGAAGAATGCCGCCACGAACGGGCAGATGCATGCCACCTGACATTTCGGCAACTTGTAGCGACCTCATGAGCGGGGTTTGCGACCATACCCATGATGAAATTTCTTCTGCAGCAAGTATCCTTGATTTTGGTTTGGCGACTTCTTATAATTCATCCAGTGTTTTTCCTTTCCCCAAAGTCAAAAGCAAGACTGAAAATCAAGCGCTGTAGGTGTCTCTTTTGCAGAGCAGTGCTCTCATGGGACCGGAGAAGCTAAAGAGATAGCCGTTTTGGGTTCCCTTCTCTCTGGAAGCCGAGGTAACAAGACTCTTCCAGAGCTTGCTGGTCCAGAACTTGACTCAGTCCATCAGCCAGGATCAGCCCAGTTTCAGAAATCTGTCCCATGAAGACCCAGTTTTCCAGGCACTACGACACTTTGCGACTTCCACCCTTGTGCAGCACAGAAGTTCTTACAACTCTGATGAGTGGAGCTCTCCAGCGAAGCTCTGCAACTTTTGCATTGAGCGCCTGCATAATCAGATGCTGCTTCAGAGATATCAGTCGGAAATCCATGATTTGACAATCCTCCGGGGCCGTGTCCCGCCGATTTCAGACCTGCAACCCGACGGATCAAGCATACCTTTTTTTGAGCTGGAATTAATGGATGCCAGCCTGAACGAGGTCCTTCTTTTCTATGGAGCGCCGCCTGATGTTCTTGCGCAGATCACGCTTGCAGGGTTCGACCCGCTGAGGGCTGGAGAACGGGCTGGAGCTATGTTTGGCAGTGGCACCTACTTTGCAAGAACCATATCCAAATGCGACTTCTACGCAAGTCGAGGCACGCGGCGGCAGGTGCTTTTGAGCCGCGTGCTCGGGCATCACCAGGCCAAGCGGTTGGGATCACAGGTTGGGGCCCCCGACGGCCCTTGGGGTGAGGCTTGCGACTCATGGCCTTGACTCCTGCGGAGGGCGGTGCAGTGGACCACCGTGGGTATGTGATTTTCAAGGGATCGCGTGCCTTGCCGCTGTTTCGGATCACCTACGAACATGAGGCAGATTGCGAATGCCATATCTGCTCTTATGGGAAGTGATCCGAGCCGTCGTGCTTGGTGCAGGATGGAGATGAGAATCCGACTCGTGAACGTGGTAAAAGCAGTGCGTGGTAGAGATTCAGTCTGATAGTATCCAAAGTAATCTAATTGACTCAGTATATTTTTAGCCCAGAGTCGCGTCATCCCATCAGGTAGGGTCGCCCGACAGCGCCACCGGACGCTGTGTTGGATGATGTTGAAACCCGCAGGAAATTTCCTTGCAAGGGATTATACATGTTGCAGGACTCGTCCCCTGCTTTTCTTTTCTCCCGTATTTTCAGGGAAACAAACAGTTGAAAGGGAGCCAGAAAGTCTGATGTTCCTCAACGCAACGCCACAAATAGGGTTGATGGCTCTAGGGAAGCCTTCTTTTGAGCTGATATTATGAACCGCAGTTGTCAATGTTTCTCCAGGTGCCTTAGTGAAGTTGCTGCCTGTCAAGGTCGATGGCTCCAAGAATAACCCTGTCTTAGGTTCAATGTCAGATATGCTTTTTGCTCTTTGAGGAACCAGAGCACCCCTGGTGGAGCCACGCTGGTAATGCATTTCCATATCCCCCAGCCCTCCACCTGGCCACTCGAGCCTCTTGCCGCAGGCCGTGCACGACCTGAGATCATCGCCTGAGAAGTCAGGAGAGTTGGCCAAGAACAGATGAATCTGCCTTTATATACGTTATCCAGCCGTGTAATGGCACAATATTCCACATATAGATATAAGTCATGATGTACATGTAGTTGTTTTTTGTTTTTGTTTTTGCTTTTTTGTTTTCTTCCCCCTATATATTCTACTATATACACACTACATATATATATATATATACACGATCAATTAGCAAAATCCAGAAGCTTTGTGAGCAGGGGTCCTGGTGTATATGCCATGGTGGGTGACGGGCAGGGTGTGACAGGTCAGTATGTATCGTGACGGCGAGGTGCGACATATGGACAGAAAGAATGGCGACAGGGCATGTCAGAGATTGACGGGGTGTGCCAACAAGCAACGAAAACCAGTCGCCGCGCCCGCTGTCGTTCCAAATGCGACTTTATTCGCCGCACCCAGGGCCACCTGCTAAACTCCATGAGGCCATTTGGGAAGCGACACGCGGCTGCGAGTGCGATAGTTGTCCATCGTCCGTCGTCGCTTTGTCATGTTGCTTGTTGCCATCCGTCGGTTCCTGTTCTTGCCATCCATCGTCGCCGGTCGTCGGTTGATCGCCCCCGCTACCTGCCCCGCCAATTTTTGCCCACCGCGTGGAAACTTGATTGACATGGGTCGCCCGTACGCCTTTTGGGCATCCACCAACGCATATCTCAAATAACATGTACGGCTGCTTCTTCTCCGTCTGCTGATTGTCACTGTTGAATTTTCATATCTTTCTTTTGTATATATATATATATATATGTATTCATTCATGCATGCATGCATGCATACCTACGTGCAAGTGCAGACATAAAGTAAATGGCATGCATGCATCCATCATACATGCATGCATGTATTTGTGATTCCATATGTGTGTTTTGATGAATATGGCTGATACAGTTGGTAGGCTCTCTTTTCTTTTAAACACATTCAGGCACATTTGGACTGACTGATACGAAGCTGCCAATGTCCACCTGGCTGGAAGCAACCCTTGCTTTTTTTGATCAATTCAGTGCTGGAGAAAATCATGGGATTGTGGGCACATATGATTAGCGAGCTTATGCGGTCCGCAGAACTCTTGCCCAAAAAAAGGTATGGTCATAAGATTCTAAGATGTTGCCAAAGCAGTCGCTTTTGGCGCAGCGCTGGCTCGAAAATGCGAGACACAGTGGTCCGCCTTGCGCCACAGCCACAACCGCATACCTCAGCGCAGGAGAGCACACGTGGATGCGTGGAAAGTAAAGCGCTGTGTGTCCAGCGCAGGTGTCGTGATGTCGCGACAAGCGTGCGCATGGTGGTTTTAGCGTGCTCGTGCTTTGCAGCTGCAGTATGCATGCACGCAGCGCAAGCTCGTATGTCACACAGCGCCTAGGTGGAACCACAGGGCAGCGCATGCGAGTCTCAGCATGCACAGATTGCGAGGGATCAGAAGGGCATAATTGAGTGCGGTAGCGCGCAGGAGTTTGCCTTTTTTTTTTTGGTGAGCGGTGCACACTGGTATGCGCCGCAGTCACAACTCGGCGGGCGTGGTTCAGCCCTGTAGGGCGCACGTGGACCTGTGTTGAGCAAGCGTGTATCACATGATGTCGCGCAAAGCGCACGTTACTTTTGTATATTTCGAGGCTTTGTTTACATACATTGTCTTGTTTACGAAACGCATTTGCACGCATTTGTGGGAACCCATCGTTTTTCATGCTTGTTACATGCTTCCTCCATTGTTGTGGGGCTTGCCACAATCTATCTGGAGACACACCCATTTTGGACGTCCACACCGCAGGCGTTTTCGAAACCTCAAGGAAATTGCCATGGATGATATGGATGGATATTGGGGTTTTGACATTATATGTTGAAGCTACCCTTTTTTTCGAAACAACATGCATTGCTGTTTTTCTTTACGATCTGGTTGTATGTACTGCTGGCGAGTGGCTTGATTGGCGCGTGTGCGCAAACCAATCGGAGAGGGGCCCTAGATTCACAAAGCTGGTGAGATACACCCTCTCAGATGACGCACCCCCAAACAAAACCGACTAGCGATTAGCGATTCTTGTTGCCAGGTTCTCTTTGGGGGTCAGACTCATGAGCAACAGCTTTCATTTTGTAGATGAGGTATGTCCTAAACTCGGATTTTGCACCTCTAAAGGCTGTCCGAGAACAGTACAACAAGTCCAATTCGGCCAGCTACAGCTTGGGTCTGCCCACACCTTGCCATGTGTTGGTGGCGATGGTGGGGCCCGGGCTTCCGGGAGCGCCTGCTGCCAGGACCCCATACACGGCGCAACAGTGCAAACGTGATGCCTCGGAGAGAGTCATATCTTCCTGATGCGCCAGGTCTTTTTCAAACCCGAGGCCACAGCAACCTAATCGTGACTAAACTGGCGACTGGAATCGGGGGAACTCACTGCGTGAACTCACCACACAGCAGCGTCCCTTTTACGAGTAGTGAAGGTGTACGGCACGCCAATCAGGAGCGCGAGATGTGGAGATGACCGTGGCAGAGAGCCCAGAGGCCGGGACGTCGGTTTGGGTGATCTAAGAATGCGAATGCTCCTGGACCCTCCAACTACCATGGGAAAAAGTGAGACTGCTTGAACATTTGGTGCGATCTCCCAATTTTTGCGGGTGTGTTACATAATCCATTATACAACGTGAAGCAAGAAAAGCTCATGATGAAGGGATTCCTGAACTCAATATAGCAATTTGCCCAGATTCTCTGCCTCCCACTTTGGCGCGAAATCCACCAGAACATCCCTTCAAAAGTAAATGGTCTGAGTCAGGAGCCTCCTTTTGTTAGGGTTCATGCTAGTTGGCGTGCGAGCCGTTACCGTGAGTGATGGACAAGCAGCGTATTTTGCTGATTGGCTTTTGTGATGTGGTGACCAATCAGCAATCATCACAAAAAAAAAACCCATAAGGCGATGCAATCTAATGGTTGGGGTTTGGAGCATCCTCCAAAAACGGTTGTTGGACATAATCCCCCATGAAAAACAAGATGTCCAGTAAAGTTCTTCTTCATACCCATGTCAGAATTTGATTTCCTCACTTCTATTTTGGCATTGTGCCTCCGGCAATTGTTCAACCCTGCAAAGTAGGCAAGCAGTCATTTGGGTCTGTCTAAAAAACGGACTTCAAAATGGTTGCTTTCCTCGTAGTTTCCATGTCCAATTCAACAGGCCATCTATCCTCAAAAAGAGATAGACACAATTTGCGAAAGCTTCATGGCTCATTTCAGTCGAACGATTGAAGGGACACCAAAAGAACATCAATCATTTTGTCAATGAATGGATTTCTTTGACTCTTCTCCCTAAACTGCTGCATGTCATGACCAGTTTGTATTTTCCAAGTGATGTCGAGGCGTATTCATCTGTGACAAACCACACAGTTGGTATCCTTCTGCAGGCAAACGGGAGCAACCCCCATGAACATCACGCGGAGGAACCGTCTTTGGAGAGCACCCCTGGTGTTGTATGTTGGCTTTTGTGAGAATCACGGGTGGTCGATTTTCCGTTGGAATTCCCTTGCAGCGACAAACACACGGTTGGTCGCGCCAGTCCCTGAGATCCTTGTAATTGTTTGGGTGGTCTCATTCATCACCTCCTCATCTTTGAATAGAACAAAATCCCACCGGTAGGGTGACGTTCCAAGAAAAAAAAAAAAAGCACGCGAGTAGGCCCCCCCGAGTGAAAGCCACACGGCATGGGTGACCCACCCAGGTGACTGAGAGAGGCCCGGAGGTGGAGATCATCCCCGCCAGGCGGGCGCAGCTTTGAGCCGTAGGTGAAGCAACAGCTAAGATCAAGCAGCTTCTCCTCCCCAACTTGCGTGCCGCGGGTTTCGCTCCCGTCTTTTCGCCCTATTGATGAGACAGCAGCTCGGTGCGCTTCATGCGCACTTGGGTTTTTCCAGGTGCCGACTTGTTCATCCTAGCATCCTTGGAGCAACCCAAGGGGGGACAACGGCAACTATGGACAGGTGCCAGAGGTCGGCGTGATAAGACGCTGTAAGCCAGTTTTCGCACCAGTTACTGTTTGATTCGACATGCCCTCATTTACTGGCAATCCTCGATGTAGGTGAGGTGACTTGTTTGGTCAAAGAGACGTTCCTCTTGGCGTGCTTCCCGTTTTCAACTCCCAGCAACATTTGTTTTGGTTCGCTGCACCCTTTAAAGCATCACCCTATGAAAACAGGAGACCTCACAACTTGGCCATTTTCTTGGGCTTCTGGACGTCACTT